TATATATATATATATATATATATATATATATATATATATATGTATTAATTGTGCGTATTGTTGACATATTGCTGAACTGACAAGAACTTTTTATTCAATTTAGATTTTATATAGAGTCTTTTATATAGAGTTAATATGTACTTCTTATAATATAATGCAGACCTCATTTTATTTTAAAATTAGATCATTTATTTGCATTATTATTTGCATATTTTGCACAAGATGATTTAAGAATAAGTTTAATTTATAATAATTTTTATGATTAACAAGGGAACATAGACGACCCGAAAATTCAGAAAATTCTGAAACATTGTGTGCGAGTAGTATATTCATAATATAAAACTATTTTTGTTTCTGCTAAATTTTTATTTAAGGGGGTGAAACCACCCCTCGAAACTAATGAGTGGAGAAAGGGAGGTTTAAAAATGTTTCATTTTTGCAAAATTTGAATACACCGTTGCAAAGAGTATAAAATATTCTATCACTTTTATATAAACTATTTTTTCATATGCCTTGTATAGGAAATTTGCTAAAAATAAAAATGTTATGTTTTTTCGAAGAGTGGTTTCACCTCTTTAAATTGAAATTTAGCAGAAACAAAAAAAATAGTTTTATGTTATGGATGTACTTGCACACAATGTTTCAAAATTTTCTGAATTTTCGGGTTGCCTATGTTCCCTTGTAAGTTTAATTTGTTTCGACATGCACTGTCTATTATAACCTATCATAAATTTAAATATACGTGAATAAAAATATTTTTATAAAGCGAAAATATTTAAATATATATAAATATCTTACCTTAAAATAAATTGATATCATATGATCAATATTATCTCTCATTCTGAAGTCACTATTTTCATGTTAAATTCAATGATTATGTTAATTAAAAATTCTTTCAAAGATTCGATTCGATTCGAATGAAATTTTATCGATTCGATTCGAAATTAAAATCTGAGATTCGATTCGATATAAGAAATCTTTGATTCGCACATCTCTAATATTTATTTAAATTTTTGTGGTTTTTCACCTGTCTAGATACTTTTTTTACTTATTTATTTAAATAAATGTACTTCTCTACTTCTTACCTTGATAGTATGGTAATATTTCCGTAATCTGTCTAATGCAATTGCAGAAGCTGTTTTTCTAGCAATTTTCCGATTGTAACCAGAGGCAAATGCCACTTTCTTTGAATCGATATAAATTGTGCAATCGCTAAAATAAGACAATAAAATATAACATTGTACACGTTACAAATAATTTATTCCACTAGTTACATATATAACAATTTTCTTTATTTTATATTATAAGTGTTACACATACTATGAGTGTTGAAACTTTGTTGATTGGTTTGCATATACCCACTTCAGGTTATTACGAGATATGCCAACTGAATGAGCCAGTGTATTTTGTGGTACATCACCTGGTCTTTCCACCAGAATGATATCTCCAAATGGAAGTTCTTCTTTCTTCTTAGAGGAAGATTCTATGATATTAGTACTAAGACTTTTATTATTATTTACTGTTTTACTCTCCTCAATTTCGGATTTTAATTTTTTATTGCTTTTATCTGATATAGGTTCTTCAGCAATAGTAGATATTTGGGCAATACATCCTATATAGAAAAAATTAGTAGTAGGAAAATTTAAGTTATTATATAAATGCCAAATCATAGTTGACAATTTTAAAAAATAAATAAAACTTTTCCATATTTAATAAACATAAAATGTAATTTGTATGATAAAAAGTAAAAAAAAATAAAGAAATAGTATAACTCACAATTTTTTGTTATACCTTTAACCTTTGAACTAGCTGCTTCTGAAGCTTTTACAAATGTTCTTTGTAACTTTGTTTTTTGTTTCTCTCTATATTCAGCTGCAATTTCCTTCGATAATTCTGCTACTAAATCCATTGTTTCTTGTGGATATCTATGGTAAAACATGTATATAAACTTAAATAATTATCCATAAACTTATAAACTTATATAATTATGCATAAACTTGATATGAATAATAATTATTCATCCTTTGCTGAATTTATAAAACTTACTTAGTTCATAAATATCAATATTGTAATATACAGCATAGATATTTAAAATGCAATTTGTTTTAGAAAAATAAATAAATGTTGCCAAAAATATGTGCTATGATATGTCGTAATGCATTACCTGCATCCTAATAGTTCCACGTTAGAGAACACTTGTGCCAAACAAACGAGTTCATCCTCTGGAAATTTTGTTTTGTGAGTTAGCAGAAATTTACGCCTCAGTTCCCAATGTTCATCACATTCATGTTCCATTTTGTGTTTTTCCACATCCCAATCATTATTTATACTCATGTTTACATATATATTTGTTGATTTCCAATATAAATGTCTTATATATTATTTACAAATATTTCAACAAATATCTTTTGTCTTTCTTCTTTTTGCTTATTGTTTTCGTAATATAATACGTTTCGTACTTGCTGCCTACTTCTTCTCCAATACTTCTCTTTTGTCTCCACAGAGTTCTTTGGAGATAGACGATATATATTTCACATGGTCAAATATCTAATGTTTATTGGAACTTTTGTCATGTAGGCGTCACTAACCACAAAAAGTTCTCGTTAATAAATATATCAGGTTGTATGATATAATTTTCGAAGAATATATTATTATATAACCGTTATCGGTAGCGCCTTATTTACAAGACAAATTGGTTAAACTTTGAAAGTCGCTTATATTTTTACTTGACAACTTGAAGCAAAGTTATACTCACCGTGAATTGTATCGACAATGCTAAAGTCACTAAATATATATGAGATCTGTGCTTTTTAGCTGAACTGCTTGAGCTACGTTCGCGGACCAATCAAATCGTCCCATTTTATTATCTAATAGCGAATTCGGTTGCTTGCACTAGTGTGCACTGAGTGCGCACTAAGGCTTGTTCATAGTATGTTATTATATTTAAAAATTGTCTTAAATAATTCTCAAATAAATTCTCAAATATTTTTAACCATAATATGATATGTATAACATCCGTACGAATCATTTTATTAGTTAAAATGTTTTTAAATATGTATTTAAGACACGATCTTAAATATAAGAATGTACTGTAAACAAGCCTTAATGCGCACTCAGTGCGCACTAGTGCAAGCTACCGAATTCGCTATAACTTTACGACGAATAAAATGGGACGATTTGATTGGTCCGCGAAGGACGACGAGACGTGTAACGCGTTAAGTAGGAACGCACCCTTAATGCGGGAATATAACAGCCATTACGCGCGATGAACACGTGACACAAACGATGTCACTTGTGATGCTACTTTTCAACTCATCAAACGTCTTATGATAGCTATATATAATGAGAATAAAATAACACATATTTATTTGTACAAGAGTCTTTACTTTTTATACAATAAACGCGTATGTTAAATTAAAATATAAAACTTCTTACTTCGATAAAACAGTGATGCATATATTCTTTATAGGTCAGTTGTTCACAAACTTTTCTTGCCCGTCAATAAAGAAAACAATTTCTTTATGAGACAAACTATGTCCTTATAGAAATATCATACTAAGAATCATTGATAATTACTTATTTTCAGTATTAAAAATACTGGATAATAAGTAATTATCAATGATTCTTGGTATGATATTTCTATAAGGGTGGGTGCGCTCGGGGAGCATGCTACCAACGTTACCGCGTTCTTCAATCTTTATCGCTCCTTAAATAAACAATAAGGATAGAATAACACGGTAGCGCTGAATAGCGCTAAGAGCGAGCTCCCCGAACGCACCTAATAAGTTGAAATCATAAGAGATACATTCGTATTTCGAAAACGTAAAAGTTAACAACAATCCCGTTACGCATCACTATTACTTCACTATATACTTCCCCAAACAGCACAGATCTCCACAGGATATCCTAAAGATGCTCTAAGAATGTCCCCAAGACATCCCCTGGAGATCTTTTGTTGTCTGAATTATAACGACATTTTTATAATATCCTTATATATATATATATATATATATATATATATATATATATATATGTGTATATATAAAACGAAAAATACGATGTTGAGAAAAAATTGTCACTGAATCAGAGTGACTAGAAACGAGTATTTTTAATACACGGGCAAAGTTGCAGTTTATCTTAAATAATTGTTTACTCTGCTTCTTCACCCCGATAATGTTGAATTGATAAAACATTGTACATTGCGCGCGGGAAAGCAGTGGTTGGTCCAAAAATGTGCAGTCGAACTTCGCATTTTTCCAACATATACACCCATTTCAACTCTTCGCGTTGTTCTGCTGTCATTACCTGCGAACATAATTAAGTATCAGTAAATATCAAATAACAATAACATTAATGTTATAATTTTTTGCTCAACAATGTTAGCTGTTATGCATAATATATGTTATATTGCACTTACATTGTTGAGTAGGAAATAACATCAATATAATGTCACTTTGTATTTATTGAAAAGTTATTTCTTGTGTATTTTGTACAAATATACAATCGGCTATCCTTTTAGCTAATTCTGCCGTTTTTAGTTTTGTCGTTTAACTTTAAATTTTAATTAAAATTAACTTTAAGTGTAATTAAAATTTAAAGAATTGTAACTAACTTTAAAATAAATTTTAATTTAAATTAAGTTTTAGTCAATTTAATTTGTGTCACCTGAAATTCGTCGAGTGTGCAACCTAAGACACGCTCCGCGAAATCTCCAGTCAAGCGGCATCCGATGAGATATCCGGTGTCGTCCTTTAAATTGACTTTCACGTTGAGCTTAATGACGTTTAAAGGCGACTGCATCCCATTACCCGAAGGACAACTCAAATTCATACAAGAATCTTGCATGCTCGCGACGATCTTTTTACACAGAGCGCTAAATGAAATGAACATAATGACATTTTAACAATATTTCCTCGATTTTTACTGGATAATAAATACGATGTGAGGAATGAAGAGAGCAATACCATTTTATAGAAATCACATTGGGCAAATCTTCTAGATTCATCTCAGTCACCAAAGCTTTTACGATCGTCGCGAACTGCAATCTTTCGCCATCCATGCTCGCTTTTTTTTGCAATTTTTCCGTGATTTGCTGTATTGTCATTACAGTCGTGATAGTGTCCGCTGTTGATGAAATTAGAGAAATGAGATTAAAGGTATGTTCCGATATTCACTGCTAGTACTGAAAATCTATAGTGCATATTACGTATACTTTAGATTTTTAATACTGGTAGTAAATATCGGAATGCAACCTAATTGCCCATACATCACAAATCTTCAAAAGACGTTCTAAAGACGTTCTAATGACATTTATACATCCTAAGAATGTCCCGGAATATTCTCTGAAGATTTTGTGCTATCTGGGTAATTACGCGGAATGCAAAAGAAAAGGAGACCCGATGTTTAATTTCAGCATTTAATACTAACATAATATAGTTTTGTAAATTGCACTGTTCTTCTGTTTGGTTACATAGAATTGCAAATGTTTTTACAGAGTGAAAGTACAAATGTCAATGCATGGGAAGACTAAATAATTGCGTCGAAAACAAGAGGAAATTTTGTAAATAAAAAGATGATTTTGGTACAATATTTGATATCTTTCTATGCATTAACATTTGAACTTTCACTGTGTAAAAGCATTTGCAATTCTATACGACCGTATATAAAACCAATTAAATATAATATGCAATATTTGTATAATTGTACATCAGTATCCAACTCAAGATAATCATTTTGAATTCTTACGATTCGGCACAGCAAACGGGTCACTGCTTAATGAATCAGGATCGTAATGTTCTACAGCACTTTTAAGTTCCGCTGCCTGCGGTATATTCAGGCATTCTATAATCAGCGTTCGTCTCGCTGCATACAATACAGACGGACGATAAATATATTAACAGTTCGTGTATAATTTTGATACGATTTATCATGTTTGAATACGCGCAACATACCTATGCTCAGCGCAGTTTTCTTCTTATACTCATCGTATGCAATACGAGCGTCAATCAAGAACAATACCGTTTGCTTCGGTTCCCAAAACGCAGATCTTTCGACCCAGTCCTTCTCCCACAATAACAGAGATACCGTATTATCCGTCGATCCATCTGCAACCTCGAAACTGCGACACGTTACAGACCGTCCGTCACGCGTCATTATGTTACGCGCGTCTGCGACCTGCAATAGTTTGTTTCATAATGGAATATTACGATTGTTCTCTACATAATAGGAACATATGCACGATATATCGTCATGATATATCGTTGTTTCTCATAATTTTAAAAGAATCTACGTGGCGTTTATCGAGCAAAATAGAACTCTATTTTGACATGTATTCTTATCGGGAGAAATACGGAATTTCAGTAATATGCGCATTACTTCGAGAAACAATTATCCTTATTCTAAACTCTCTTTTATCGATAAAAGTGTCTCTAAAAATGATTTAATAAGCTGGAAACTTCCGATAGTTTTTATCAGGCTAGTGACCCACTAATAACCTAATAAACCCTCTGGCTAGAAGACACCTTTAGAGGCACTAATCAACAAGAGAAAGTTGAGCATAAGAACCGATGTGACTGAACTCAACGAAAGTGTTGTATATCCCTTATAGAAATTTAATACTAATAAGTGATAATTTAGCCAGTGATAATTGCTGTCGTTCAGTAATTTTATTACTCGTACGAGTAATAAAATTACTATTTATTACTGGCCAATTTATTACAACCAGTGATATTTTTCTAAAAGAGATACAAGAATATAAAGTCATATATTCTTATAAATAATGATACGCACAAACGTGACTACGACGAAAAGATCGACGAATCGATCGCACAGAGCGTCAATGTTTTCCAGAACAACTTTCAAATTCTTGGCGGATGTGACACTTTTAATAGGCCGGGTCAACAAGTTCATGTATTGTTCACGAGTGGGCGCATCGTGATGTTGTATAATTGCCATACCCTCATTTACAATCAGAAGGAAAGGACTGGTGGTCGATGGTACAAATTGCTCGTTTCTGTCGTTAGGTTGACGTTTCACTATCTTTGCACTTATCACTTCCACTATAAAATAGTCACATGACAATAATCCGGGAAAAAAGTTCATATATGGATTTACTCATATATGGCCATATATGATCATACAGTACAAAATATATGCTCAAAATATATTCTAAAAACGTTCCAGGAATACATGATATCTCTGAAACGTCTCTAGAATGTATTTTGAACATTTGTGCTATATATAATTATATATGAGTATATAATTATATATCCACATTGAAAAAAATGTTTTTATGAAAATATAATTGAAGTAAATGCTTATGTTTATGGTAGCCTATGATGTCAATGTTTAATTGAATCAAATTATATATTTTTTTTTCACTCAACAGTATTTGTTTCATGTATGGACATATATAATTAGTTGGTCGTATGTAAGATCACATTTATGCACAAAAAAATTCATATATAATTATATATAATCATATATTTTTATATGATTATATATAAACCTTTTTTTCGAGGATATTTAAGAGACAAATTTACTACTTTTCTAATCCTCAGCGATTCATGAAAATCGATTAATCGCGTCGGGAATATTTTAATAGCTTTTTCAACTCGTTATCAATGTGTTAATCGTAAAAATAAATAGCAATTGATTGATTCGTAATTGGATTATCAAAATAAAATATTCAAATAAAAATTCAAACACTTACAGATCCTATACTATAAATGAAAATTATATCTTTGTTATAAATTTATTATTATTATAAATTCCCCAAAATTAACTAATCGAGAGTCGGGAATACAATCTTAATATCTTCTTCAACTCATGTTAATCATAAAAATGACAATAATACATCAATTGATTCGCCATTTATATAGGATTATCAATGTACACACCTACAGATCCTATATTGTAAGTAGACGATATTTTTGTTATAAATCCCGTACTACCCCAAACCGTCACATTAATAAAGTCCACCTCGGAATCGCGCAAGGTGAATGTCCACACGCTACGATCGCCTTTATGAACTGTAACAGTCAGCAAGTGAAGGATAAATTCTCTACTCAGAAATAGAAAATTCGAAAAAAAAGATGAATCAGCCTTTAGTCGATTCAGTCAACTGTCGTAAATCAACGTAAAAAAAATCAAGATTTTTCAGGTTTAAAAATGATAAAGCGAATAAAACGTACGCTTTAATTGTGGATGTTTTGACAAAATCTCTCGTGGAGACAAGTCATTTCTATGGATAAACTTTTGCAGAAGTAAGAACGGATACGTACATTTCGTTCGACTAGCGTCAATCGTTTTCGCGTTTGTGCTGTTTATAACCACACCGATCACGAAAGCGTTTTGCATTCCTTCCTCTAACGATTTAATTTCCTGTCTATATAGAAAAGACATGGTCCCAGGATCTTAATTGTCGAAGTGACAAACAAATTCGCGAATCAAATCGATGGAAGCAGATTTGTGGACGTAGAAGATTTCGATAATTCGAACGTAACAGTGTTCTCGTATGCCCGCTATCTAAATAAAAAAAAGTTAACTTCAATTCCAACGTTGCCAATCGCGACTACAGTTTTTCGACATCAACAATCATAGTTGCGTTCCGAAATTCACTGCAAGTACTGGCAGTGAATTTCGGAACGCAGCCTATGATACACGAATATCTAGGCCGCGTTCCGTTTCACGCATATGCGCGCGTTTATCTACAATTCATGTTACGTATATTGTAGGAAATGCGCGCATAATGCGTGAAACGGAACGCAACCCTAAATGCGGTGCGTTTCATTCGATAGCAACTTCCGGTGTAACTTTAAACGAATGTATAAACGCCGCTATAAAGAAAATTTCTCTCGACATGAATCTTTAAATCTGTCTTTTTTTAAATTGTTTGCGTCTTTTTTTCTGGTAATATAAGAAATAAAAACGTGATTGGATATATTTCTAAAAAGCTTATTAAAAATAAAAAATATCGTGTTTTTTTATTGGAGATGAAAGACTACGATTAACAAAAAAATAGTTGATACCATATTCCAGCTTGAATTAAAGTGTAAAAAGAAACACCTTGTAAAACAAAATTGTTGTATGTTCACAATTTCCATAAAATATTCATTATAATCTGTTTTCACGTTGATTTTTCGTGTTCGGGCAGGTTTTCTAATTCTGTCGTCAGTAACAGACAAAAAATGCTATCAAATGTTGAGTGATCGAGCCCCACAATATTTTGTTAAGATTGATGATTAGCAACATTGTTTTGAGGAATATGCTTGGAACTGCAAGTGAACATTCTATATTTTCTATTCTTTCTATCTTCTGTTCTTTATCTTACTTAAACAATCAACCTTCATCTTATCTAATGCTGATACAGTTATATGATTTAAGAGCAGGTGCACCTTGCGATAGTGAAAGCTGTGTGTTGGGTTCTGCTATATCTTTAGCTTGATAGATATCATTTTCCTAAATATTTGGGTAAAACGGAATAAAGTTTGATTGATACTGTTCTTGATTGTACAAGTACTCCTGAATAAAGATGTGATAAATTTTCATAATTAAGTTTAATATTATCTTTGAAAAGTTTGCTGAAATATAGAAGGGAGAATTAAAAAAAAAAAAGAAAAAAATTGCTTGGAACTGTGCTGGGAATTGTTTGGTCCCATGAAGGAATGTTATTTTGTATCCATATCAAAGTTATGAGAAGATATACTTGGTATATCAATCAATTTCTTTTTCACAGATGAATTAATCGTATTTATGTATGACTTATAAAACGAATGTTTCCTTAAAAATAACTTATTATCAGAAAAATTAATTGCTCCCATGAAGAAATCTTTTTTTGCCTTTATTGATGTTGCCAGAAGATGTACTTGGTGCATTAAAGAATTTCCGTTTCTTGGTTGGTTCCTGTTTCACAACCTTAATAAGGTCCAAATAACATATCTTTGTAGTATCAAACAATTTTCAATAATATGTTGTTTTTGAAAAAGCATAGAAGGAGGAGAGCGTACTCTAGGTGATGGTGGCAGTCCGTGCGTTCGGGATCTGCGTGTATCTTTTCATTTCAAAGAGAGAAAAATATCGAAAGCACGGTTTGCTATAAAGCCGGGACTTGAACCTGGGTCTTTCGTTTGCCGGGTGACTGCTCTAAACAAATGAGCTACCTGACATTCCACGCTCACGACACTCTCCACTCCCTAGAGGATATATATATATATATATATATATATATATATATATATATATATATATATATATATATATATGTTATTTGT